CCTACTTGGAACTGAATCGAGTGGTAGTAAAGATTCTGCAGTCACGGTGTCTTTTGATGAAGATCTATCTGAGAAAAATGTGAAGGAACCCATGAGCGAAGACCAAACGGAACCAATGACAACGTTCATTGATGTTGATGAATTAAATTCACTGTCACAGCTCAGAGAAAATAGTAACCTGAAGTTCAGGCCCTAATTTGAAATAGGGCCTGACACAAAACCTGTCTAGACCGTGGGACGCCCACATGTTATTTTTAGACACACATGCAATATGATTGACAAGTGTTGTAGATTTTGTTACACAAAAAAATTATATTCTCATGAACATGTCCGCAGAGCATTTTGCTTTTTAATTAAACTTAAAAATTCAAGGTACTTTTATATAATTAAGAGTCTGTTTCTCTATTTAACCGAACAGGCGAACAGCAAACAAAGATTTAATTAGTCAGTTCTGTGCACGGCTTGACTGCCAAGCTTTCTCAAGGTCTCGACTTGCTGGACGCGGATATACTCTAACGACTACCGGGCTAATAACAGCAACAATTAAATTCTCAATCATACCACGAAGAAGGCGATGTAGCTCAGAAAACAATTACGCCGGTAGGACCTGATATTAAAAATAAGACTTTTGCCGGCGAAGCAAGTTGGCAGAACATCTTGGCTGTCAACAACAAGCTTTCGAATACAGGACTAGTTTGGCTGTTCTTTCAGCGTCGTGTGTGTCCAAAATTCGTCAAAGATTTTGATGAAGCCCTTTCAAAATACTGTTTATTTGATTTATTTTCTTCCATAAAGCATAAAAGAAAAGAAATTCGAAGAAATCGTAATGGAATTTGTTACGTGCGTTTGACCTTTATATTAATTCTCGCCTTGACCGAGCTATTTTTAAAACTGTTGTTTATGTGAACTTGCAACCAATCAAAATCCTTCATGATGCTGATCAACCAATCAGATTTCCCGTCCACCAGGTGGACGGGAATCCCACACTTTAGATAGGTTTTGTGTCAGGCCCTATTCTGTGATA